TTTACAAAATGTACACCATATTATATGTTTACTTCTGGAACTTGCTTTTTCACTCAACATTTTACTAAAATTAATTCATTATGGCTATAATTTATTCTCTATTAGTGCTGTGTAAATAACTCATTGAGTGACTCTAACACAATTCATTTACCCATTGTCCTGTCAATGAGCATTTGGATTGTTTTCAGGTTTTTGCCATTATGAACCATGTTGCTATTGAAAGTCTTGGACATATTTCCTTTCATACTAAAAGTTTTTCTTGCATATAGGCCTAGGAATCAATTGCAAAATCAGACAGTAGGTGATATTATCTTGTAAAGATAAATATCAAAATGTTTTCCAAAGTAGTTATACCAAATTATATTCCCACCAACAATATATAAGAAATTCTATTGATCAACATCCACTCCATTTCTAGTTTTGTCAAACTACTTAATTTTTTTTCCAAAGTGATATCTCATTGTGATCTCGATTTTCTTTTCTCTGATTACTAATGAGATCGAACATCTCCTTGTATACTTATTAACCATATGTGTTTTCCATTCTGTAAAAATGCTTGTTCACATCATTTGGCCATTTTTCTATTTAGTTGCTAGTTTATTTTTCCTTACTGATTTGTCAGTTCACAGTGTTGCAAATATCTTCCACCTCTTGTGATGTGTCTTTTCACTTTCTTTAATGTGCCTTAAAGAACAAAGTTTCTTGATTTTAATTTGGTTGAATTTGTTAATCTTTTCTATTATGATCAGTAATTTTATGTCTGAGAAACTCTTTTGTGCTTCAAGTTCAATATATATGCACTTATAATTTCTTGCAAAACTTAAAGTTTTGCTTTTGATGTTTAAATTCTTAATCCCTTTGAAGGGTGTGTATGTGTGTGTGTGTGTGTGTGTGTGTGTGTGCGTGCGCGTGCGCGCGCATTTGTGTGTGTATAATGAGGGATCTATTTTCTTTAATTTTTTCCCAAATAATTAATTTCTCCAGCTTCATTTGTTGAACAAATCCTATTTCCCCAGTGAGCTGCCTTGCCTCCTCTGTCATCTGTCAAAGTTCCATATGTGCCTGCAGCTATTTTGGGCCTCTCTGTTCTGTTTCTTGGTCATGTTGTCCATCCCTGTACCAACACCATACTGTTTTAATTGCTCTAGATTTTTAATAAGCCTTTGTATTTATGAAGAAAGATCCCGTTTCTTATGCTTCTCCAAGATTGCTTTGATATTCTTGGCCTTTTGTTCTTCCATATAAATTTTAGAACCAATTTATTAAGTTACCAAAAAATCTTTTTGGATTTTTATCGGAATTGTATTAATGCTATGGCTCAATTTTGGAATAGTTGATTTTTTTAAACTAAGCCTTCTTATCCCTGAACATGATGTCTTCTTGCATTAACTTAGTAACATCTTTGGTGTCTTTCAGTCAAGTTTTTTGACTTTTTTCATACAGAGCTTGCACATCTTTTGTTATGTGTTAATGGCATCTGTTCTTGGGGTTTAAACATAAATACAGAATATTTGGGCTCTAGAGATTGGAAATTGTCAAAAGAAGCTATAAAAGTTCACTTTCTGGAGTTTTTCATTTTAAGAAGTGTAATCTATATACAGAAGATTGCACATATCAAAATGTACAGCTTGATGAATTATCACAAACTAAACATGCCCGTGTAAAAAAATAGAACATCACAGCACCCCAGAAGCTTCCATCATGCCCCCTGTCAGCTACTACCTCACACTCCCCCCACAGATAACTACTGTCCTGACTTTTAATAAATAATGTCCTTTTGAATACTACATTACTAATTGTTGGTAGCTGGTATACAATAGCAATAACTTTTTTATATCCTTCCATATTGGTAAGTTTTCCTGTTTTTTAAAATAATTTTGTCTGTGTATATTCACAGATGAAAGAAGTAAGGCTCAGACAGTGAAGCATTCTGCTGAAGATCAGGCTGCATATCAGAGCAGCCCAGATCTGAATGATGGTCTTGTTGATTCTACTCTGTTGTACCAATTTTCTACTTTGTATTTTTCACTGAAATTAAGCAGAAAGTCAGAATCCTGATTTCTGCTTCACAAGAGGCACATGTACATGAGACTTTGTTCTTCCCTAACCTGAGTTCCACCAGATGGTGGAAGACAAAGCTGGGGCTAGATCAGTAGCAGGAAGTGCCTGAAAGAGCAAGAATTTGCAGGTCTGATTGAGTCTCTTCAACGTACAGAACATGGCATAAACCATTAAAGATGCTATGAAGCTTTTTTTATTGTGCCTGCCTTGTATTTTAGAGAGACCCATATTCGGGAAATGCCTTTCTGCCCGGTGAGATCTCCAGTGAGGATGAAGAGCCTTTAGCAGAATTGTCGAAGGAGGAATTATGCGCCAAAATAAAAAGCCTCAAAGAAAAGCTAACAAACACCCGAAAAGAAAACAGCCGACTTCGACAGTCTTTGGTCATGCTTCAAGGTAAACTTTGAGAAAATTGACATTTTAGATGAAAAGGAAAGTATATGATCAGTGAAAAGCATTGCAAATCAGCTATCAATGAAACAGAAAATCAATATCCCAAGAGAGCTCAAAAATCCATGATTTTTAGAAAAAAAATCACATGATTATATAATTTAAATACAGAAGCACTCTATTGGAGCATCTAGTTTATTGCTCAAAAAATTTTAGATTCTCCTACAAAATACCAAATATTGCATTCATTTAATAATGTTCAACAGGTATTTATTGAGCATTTAATATAGGTCACTCACAGGCCCTAGAGAGAAAAGATTAGTAAAACAGAGCAAGTGTGTCAAGGCACTCATGATGTACTGAATCTCACTCCTCTCTGCTAGGGAAAGTGCTAGAAAACGGGGCTTGTTCTGATCCATTATGAAACCACTAGCATCAATCACTCCATATATTGCATTTTAGCTTTTGTGTTGGGAGGCGTGATTTGGGAGAATAATTTCATTCCATTGGAAACATAGAAATAAGAAAAATCAGCATAAGCAAATTCAAAACCACTTGGCTTAATGCTTTTTTGTAGAATTCTATGTTGTGTTTAAGTATTTATTTTTCAAAAATTATGCTTTCCATTTGTGGTTAAGCACCATGCATTATTTTGTACGGCTGAATATTTGATAATTATGTCCTATGTTGAGCAACACTCTGTTGTAAAGCAGCAAATACACAGAACATTTTGCAATTACATCCCTCTGGCTGCTGTGTACAGAGTGGGTACAAGTGATACAAGAAAGACAGTGAAGAAGAACCACCAGAGAGGTAGCGCAGTCATCCAGAACAACATGGTAGCAGCCTACACTGAAATGATGGCTATGAAGATAAAGAACAGAGTTTCACGGTATTTTGGGAGACAGAACAATGACAGGAGGCCGATAGAACATGGTGATGAGTGAAGTTGACAGAGTAATAACGGGTCACTTGATTTCCCAAGAATATTTATTAAATTAAAGCTTTCATGGTTTTAAGTAGAAATAGTTACATGTAAGTGGAAAGATGCTTATTCCATTGTTATTACCTCTTTATTTCTTCACTTTAAAATATTACATATTAAAAACTGATGTTTTCTCCTGGTGAGGTTTTTATGATTTCCAAAGAACA